CAGCCTGGACAGAGCGAGACTCCATCTCAAAAATAAGCAAGCAAACACTGCATGTTCTCACTCCTAAGTGGGAGTTGAACAATGAGAACACTTGGACACAGGGCGGCGGACATCACACACCAGGGCCTGTCGGAGGGTTGGGGGGAAAGGGGAGGGAGCACATTAGGCCAAATGCTTAAAGCATGTGGGGCTTAAAACCTACATGACGGGTTGACAGGTGCAGCAAACCATCATGGCACATGTATACCTATGTAACAAACCTGCACATTCTGCACATGTGTACCTATGTAACAAACCTGCACATTCTGCACATGTGTACCTATGTAACAAACCTGCACATTCTGCACATGTGTCCTAGAACTTATTAAAAAAAAAAAAAAGCAAACAAAAGAAAGGTGAGTCTGAACACATTGGGTGCACTATAGACTGCTCAGGTGATGGGTGCATGAAAATCTCAGAAATCACCACTAAAGAATGTATTCATGTAATAAAACGCCACCTATTCCCCAAAAACCTATTGAAATAAAAAAAAGGAAGAAATGTGAGTCTCAGGCCCCGCCCAGCCCTGAGTTGGGGGAGTGGCCATCCCGGTTTACCAGGCTGTCTCAGGGACCTTCCCCTTCTTCAGCTCAGCCTGAGACCTCAGCTCTCCAGTGCCTGCCTCTGCAGGTACCCTTCCAATGCCTCAAACCCCACCGGCCCCAGTACAGCTCAGCGTCCTGCTCCAGTGCCCCCTCCTCCCAGCCCCCGCTTCTGTAATAAGCTGGGGCTCCCACCTCCCACATCCTTCAGCCTCTAAATCAAGGATGGCCAACACTTTTCAGCTCTCTGCTTCCAAAGTGTCACAGAAACGGCCTGGCGTGGCATACTGGGAAACGCTCTGATGGTGAGGTTAGGAATAGGAGAAGGAGCTGTGAGTTTCCCCATGATCTAGGCGACTCCATGTTCTCGTTCTGGTCACAGAGCTCAGCTGTGGTCCCCTGCAGTGGCCCTCAGACATGTTCCCACCACCAAACCTTTGCCTGTGCTGTTCCCCCTGCCTGGTACACCCTTCCTGCTCATCTCCTGACTCAACTCTCCATCTAAAACCCTCCCCGGCCACCTCTTCCAGTCCATCCCTTTCTACCTCCCTTTTTTTCTTCTTGAGACGGAGTTTTGCTCTGTCACCCAGGCTGGAGTGCAATGGTGCAGGCTCACTGCAAACTCCGCCTCCCGGGCTCAAGTGATTCCTCTGCCTCAGCCTCCCAAGTAGCTGGGATTATAAGCGCCTGCCACCACAGCCATTTAATTTTTGTATTATTAGTAGAGACAGGGTTTCACCATGTTGACCAGATTGGTCTAGATCTCCCGACCTCAGGTGATCGTCTGCCTTGGCCTCCCAAAGTGCTGGGATTACAGGTATGAGCCATCACGCCTGGCGGATTGACCTATTGTTGAATATTTTATATAAATAAAATCATACAATATGTGCAACTGGCTTCTTTCACCTAGCAAAACGGGTTCAACATTAATCCATGTTGCAGTATCAATCAGTACTTGATTCTTTTCTGTGGCTGAAAAATATTCCACTGTACCTAAGTTGTTTATTCTTTCATGAGCTGACGGACATCTAAGTTTGTTTACATCATGGGTGTGATGTATTAATTACATTACATATATATACACATGAACAGACACTACACTAATTTTCCACACATCACCTAAAAGCATCTTGCAGACAGCAGCTGCATGTGTGTTACCATCCGGGAACCACTGGGTCTGACATGAGCCTAGACATGGGTTGGTTCCTCCCTGTCCTGGAATAGCCCCTAGCCTCCCTTCCAATGGGACATACCCAGTTAGTGACAATCCCCAGCCCTCTGCTTCCCTTGCCCTTGGTAAATAGCCACGGAAGAACTACTGACAAAATCACACCGCTGCATGATGCTGGGCGGCCCGTGCCTCTCCATGTCTCAGTCAACAGGACCCAGGGGCTTGGGATGACTACATAGAAGAAGGGCGGGTCCCCTCGGGTTAGCATCATCAAGTGATAATGACTCCCAGCCCTGCCATCCCATGTGGCCTTGGGCTCCACGGCCATTGCCTCTCTGATCGCCTCCTCTGTAAAACAAGGGCTTGGATCGAGTTCTAAACTAGTAATAATGTGTGCACTTGCATGGACTAACTCCTTTAATCCAGACAGTCGCCCTAGGAGAGGGTACATGAGCATTTCCGTTTTTGAGAGGGGGAAACCGAGGCACAGAGAGCTGAGAAACTTGCCAGAGGTCACAAAACCAGCAAGTGGCAAGCGCAGAATTTAAACAGAGGCAGGCTGGCTCTGGGGTCCTTGCTCTTAGCCAGAAAGAAGACCCAAACCCACAGGCAAGGAGTGACAAGAAAGCTGATACAGTTTCAATGTGTGTCCCCACCCAAACCTCATGTTGAAACATAAGCCGCAACTTTGGAGGTGGGGAGATGGGATGATGGGATGGGTCCCTCATGAATGGTTTAGTGCCATCTCCTTCGAGCTGTTCTTGCTAGAGTGAGCTCCTGAGAGATCTGATTGTTTCAAAGCATGTGGCAACCCCCCCACCCCCCTGCTCTCCTGCCCCCACTCTTGCCATGTGATATGCCTGCTCCCCCTTCCCCTTCCATCTTGATTGGAAACTTCCTGGAGCCTCCTCAGAAGCTGAGCAGACACCACACTTCCTGTACAGCCGGTACAACCATGGGCCAATTAAACTTCTCTTGCTGATGAATTACCAAGCCTCAGGTATTTTCTTTTTAGCAATGCAAGAACAGCCTAATACAAAAGGGCCCCCCCGATTATATGCCGTCACTCATTTTGCAGGCATTCACCAGGCACTCTGTACCTGTCGGAGAACGTGCTATGGGGAGGCTGGAGTTTGGGTGATGGGGTTGCACCTTTCCCAACCCTTCCTGTTCTGCAGCCTCCCTACCTTCTCTTGCTGCAGGGAAGGGCTCAGAGCCTATGACCACCCTGGCAAGGCAAGGGGCGGCCACAGCACCCTTACCTGACCCCAATCGTGAACATATTCAGCAGCTGTTTCCCTTGCAACCAGCCGATGAGCATGATGAGACCTGGGGAAGAGACAGAAACATCCTTATCTCCATATGCGCCACACACGCTGATGCCTGGAGGGATTCAAACCCACTTCCTTCAAGAGTTTACAGGAACGCATGCACAGAGGAACGACTGACAACCTCAAATACTTTCAAGCCCTCTCTTCTTTTTTCTAAGGGAGATACATTTATACCTACAAAAACCTGGTTTTACTTTCTCAGGAAAGGTCCAAGCCAAGTTTAAGTTAAAGACTCAGTCAGTTTATTTTGGACTGTTTGCAAGCATTTACATCTTATTCCCAAAGTTTCCCATCTGCTGTGTGTATCCAGAACATGCCCTCATGCGGTGTTTGCTGTGGCAAATGCAGCTGCTCCTGCGACGGGCAGATGGGCCACGGGTTTTTATTTTAAATTATTTTATTCTGTGGTACTCGTGATTAAATATACTTCATTTCTGTTTTCCTTCATTAATAATTTACCCAATATTTAGTGCACACCAGGTACTGCACTAGGTGTGCGAGACGTGGAGGTGGTCACAGATAGACCCTCAAGGCACAAATGGCAGGAGCTGCCCTGGGGCCTGTGGAAGTTCACGAGATGCTCTGGCAACGGGGAAAGGTGCTCGGGTTGCCTGGTACAGCCTGAGCCTCATCATCTATAAAGTGGGGCTCATTGTCGTGCCCCCCTCAAAGAGTACTTCCCTGGTTTAAGGTATGACAGTCTGTGCTCAGAAGAGCTCCTGGGCCATAGCAAACACCAACCAAATCGTTAACTCTTGTTGCCATCATTGTCGGAAGGAGTGAGTAGGGACTGGGAAGGTGGGTGGGGTTGCCCGGTGACACCCTTGGAGAGCTTTCTAAAGAATTCCAGCTTTGCTCTGCAGGGGCCAGGGGGCCAGGGATATTTTCTGCTGGGTGGTAGTGGGGGGTGTGTGTCTATGCGTGTTGAGCGGGGGAGCTACCACAGTATCTGTTAGTTTTGTTTTAGGCATCCTACAATTACCTACTAAACTCAGCCATCAGTTAAAATCTTAGCTAGAGCCCAAATGAACTCAAATGAAATAGATTAGCAGGGGAACTCTATTGGAAACGGGGGTGAGGCAGTGAGCCTGGAGCCACCCCTACTAGGAACTTACCCCACTCCCACCCTTGTGGCCTTCCCATAGCAGAAGGCTGGAGATTCCTCACAGGAACTCACAAGATTCAACTAGGTACATCTCTTCCGAAATCCATGTTCAGTGTCTATACGTTAGTAGCTTGAAAACAGCCACACTGAGAGTACTTACACCATGGGAACTGGCAAATGCTACTTTCCTCTAGAAGCACTTAACAGTATGGCGTGACTTCCCTGCATCTGCCCCTTGGGCCTTCTAGGGGGTCCATGGGACTGAGTTTCAAAACTCTCCCTCTGCTATAGCAGTTCTCAAAATGTTAAAAAAAAAAAAAAAAAAAAAAAAAAAGGCCGGGTGCGGAGGCTCATGCTTGTAATCCTAGCACTTTGGGAGGCCAAGGCGGGCAGATCACTTGAGGCCAGGAGTTCGAGACCAGCCTGGCCAACATGGCAAAACCCTGTCTCTACCAAAAATACAAAAATTAGCTGGGCATGATGGTGCATGCCTGTCATCCCAGCAACTCAGGAGGTTGAGGCAGGAGAATAGCTTAACCCAGGTGGTGGAGGTTGCAATGAGCTGAGATCATGCCACTGCACTCTAACCTGGGCAACAGAGTGAGATTCCACCTCAAAAGAAAAAAAAAAAATCTGAGTAGTATCATGGGCCTTGCTGTGGACATGTCAGTTTAAGTTCTAATTTAACTTAAGAAACATGGGATTACATAAGCTGTTTCTCTCAAGACTGTTCTCTGGCTCTACAGTTTTGGCCACACTCACCAGCACCTCCCTCATCATTGCATGTGCTATAGGCAGTGGCTTGTTGGTTTATTCCTGGATTAAATTTTTCACTCAACAAATATTTACTGAGAATCTATTAGAGGCCAGGCACTGGTTGATCCTAAAGGCTGGAATAAAGCAAAGCCAGAACTGGAAAGAGCAGAAAGAAGCCAGTGAAGGGACTGGGCAGTACCATGGGGATGTTAAGGCTTAAGATCTAGATTCAGGACTGCAGCATCAATGCTGTTTGGCGTGTTACCAAAGGTCAGGAAGTCCCAGCCCAGGCACAGGCTGCTTAGAAGCATAGAAATATGATTGGGTGCACAGCTAAACTACATTTCCCAGTCTCCTTTGCAGTTACATAGGCCATGTGACTCATTCTGGCCAATAAAAGACAGGCAAATTGATGACTCCACTTCCTGGTCTATGCCTTAAAAATGTCCCCCACAAGCCTCCATGTTTTCTCTTTCACCATCTGCTGGCTGAACAGAAATATGGCATCCAAGGACCCAGAGGAAGACAGAGCAACAATATAGTAGGGGCCTGGGTCCAAGTCAGTGTTTTTAGACGAGCTATCCAGGAGAGCCACTGGATCAGGAATATACCCATGGACTGTGGCGTGAGCAAGGAACAAGTGTTTACTGTTAAGCCAAGAAAATGTAGCGGCTACTTATTATAGCAGCCAGCCTAGTCCAACTATACAGAAAGCTCTTGTTGCTTTTTGAGAGCCTCTGATCCCAATCCCCAAGCCTTATGCAGCTGAGCAGCAAGATATTTGAGAAATGGCCATGGTGGCCACCCTATGATGGCTCCTCTCCATCTGCAGAACCCAGTACAGAAACTGCTCCACTTACCGATTATGCCAAAGGAGAAGAGTGTCAGTTGCTTTCCTAGCCTGTCCATGCTTTTCTGCAAAGGAGTTTTAGGTGTCTGAAAGGGTGAGCACAATGGGTTAGTTGGACAAGATCCCAGCTTCTGCCTGCCTTTGTTCAAAATGTCTTCACCTTGCCATCCTGCAGCTTGAGTGATGATCACACAGGGGT